GCCATATCAAGAAATGGAAACCAAATTGGTTTATTACAAACACGTAATGCTGACTTATATCCTTTTGCAAATGGGTTTCTTGAATTTAAAACATCAAATAAACGATCTATTGTTCTAATAAACTTAACAGTAGCATTGCATCCTTCAAACTGTGGCAACTTAAGATTATGTGAACAATAATGTAAAGCATCAGCGACACTTGAACTAAAAATTTGTGATGCTAAGTTTACTTTCATTTTTTGTTGACGAAATTCTATATGTGCTAACTTTAATCTGTTCCCTAATCTAAGTCCTTCTTTTGATTGCAGTTTTTCTAGCTCTACAAAGTATTGCCATCTAATTGTATTACTATCACTGTCCAAAATAACACCAAGATCTGCCAGTGTATTTCTAAGCAGTTTCAGCATATGGCATACATCAAACAATACATACACTTTTTCAGTCGAATTACTTGGATGGAGAAACCAGGGTATTAAATTACTTGGTTTTAGACATGCACCAAGCTCCGTAAACATGGAAAAGTTGTAAGACGGTCCATCACAAATTAGTGATATTACTTTTATGCCAACATCAAAAAGTTTTTTTAAACAATTCCTAACTAAATTTGCTCGCTCCACACCACTTAATCCATCTATAAAAAAATAACCCCAAGGTACTTTCCAGGTGCTGTTTATCGAAACTACCATTAAAACAAGAGCATCTCTTGCTAATGGTAAAGAATCATCATTGTCAATATCATTTCCTAAATCAAAAAATCCTCTAAACTTTTTTCCGTCCCATAGTACTTGTTTTCGTATTGCCATCTCATCAAGCATGAGGGAACACAAAATCTGATGACCTGTCTTTTTTGAAGCGCAAACTGCAGCTTGAAGAGCAATAAAAGCAGGTTCTGTAAAGCCAGGTTCTGCTGGTACCTTGGTGTACCAATTTCTTATTTGGGATTGATGAGGTAGCGCCAAATGAAATGTCTTACGAACAAACTCATAAGCTTTAGAAGAATAAAATTGTAAGGTCAATGCAAATGAACGTAATTCATCAGGAAATTTATTTCTACATAAATGTTGTTTTTTGATGTTAAGAACTCTTTTCATAATTCCAAGAGGGACTCCTGAAAGAGTTGTTTCAAGAATTTCTTCACACCTAGATGAAATCAGGTTTTTATTTTTGAGCAATTGAACTACTGTCTTTAAAGATTTTACTTTAGATTTCAGACGACGATTTCTTTGCTGCTCATTCTTTAATTTTGATTTTAAATTAGATATCTTTTTCTCATGTGCTTCTAAATATGGTGAAAAGTCTAATTGTCTATTAACTTCACATTGAACGTCTTTATTTTCAAGCAAACTAAATACTAATTGTGGTGCTTTTCTTTTTCTGTTAACCTAGAAACAACTATAACAGTTATGATAAATGATTATAAAATAATGCTAATAATTATTAAGTAAATAATACTACAATTTATAAAAAGAGAAAATTTAGATTTAAATGCTGTAAACTTGATTGAACCTTTAATTGATCTTTTTGAGTTATAAATAGAGTTGGAATAGCATCATGTCTTAAACGAATTGTTTGTCCAGTCTTATCAAAACAATTTTCTTCAAAATGTTGTGAACAAATTGTAGCATTTGTGGATGGTTCATAGTTTTCTTGCCCAATTGTCTTTAACCAATTTTTTTTATTTTGTTTTTCTTTTGGGAATCTTTAGTTATCAATAATAACATTAATTTCACGACAAATTTTTTTAGATTTTATTCTTAATAAAATGTAATAAATTTCACCCACCTGTGAAATGAAAACTTCTCTTTTGAATCGTGATAACTGTTTTTTGATCCAGTTCTATTTTTGCATCCGATGATGCTGCAACTTGACATAGTAATAATATAATATAAACACCTGAATATTCAATAGTGCACACTGATATCAAAATGTTGTTATTTAGAGATCAGTGGTTGTATTATAACTGTGTTAAAGAAATTTTATATTTTAATATTGATTAAATAATCTAATAAGAAATACATTATTTTAAAATATATTTTTGCATAGTATGTATACAAGTAACATACATATGTTACATCTTTACACACTATAACATAGTGTAAAGATGTAACATACATAGTCTATGTATGTGTTAAACTGTCAATAATTATCCTTTAAACATTGAGGAATAATGATTTACAGTTGACAGTCTTTGAGTCTAAGTCATTGAGAAATTACTTTTAACTTTAGAATATAACTATTGTTTTATATTTTCACTAATTAATGAGTCTAGAAAGTTCATGTGTTTAACAATAAAATGACTTTTATAATCCTAGAAGGAACCTCTGAGTTGTGTGTACTCACAGTCCTCAGCTAATAGTTCATACAGCATTTGTACAATATTGTTTCTACCTACAAAACTCATGATTGTAAAATTCTTTAAATGTTGTAGGTAGACACCGTTGCTGCTTACCATACAGTTGTGTTATTAACCTTCTAGCACACAGCATTGGGTAATTAAGAACTAAAAGGTACATAAATTATAAACTGCATTTAAAAAATGTATACTAGCTGAATATTTTTATAATAAGGAATTAAATAATCTTTTTTCGCAATCTTATTTTCCGTAAAAATAGTTTACTTTTCTTATTTGGTCAGAGTTTTAGCACCGCTAACAGCTCTAACCGAGGTTGTGTTTAGATCATATCCCATTCGGAACGATTAATTTTTACTTGCGTATTTTGCCGAACAACATTTAAAAAAATTTGGGTAAGCGCAAGAAAGTATCACTCAGAATACGATCACAAAAATACGTAATTATGCGTTTATCATTTTAATTAAGTTATGCGAATTATATATTTTAATTATTTCATCTTTAAAAAACTTGTTATTGACAGCGTGGTTAATGACAGTTTCGTTAGCTAAAAAATAATAAAATAATAGTTTTAAAATTTAAAAAAAGAAAAAAATTTAAATGGATATAGAAATGATAAGGTATGTTAATTTTAAAGTTTAATATGTCGTTATTAAGATTTTTCCAGTTTATATAAGTTTGTTATACTTATTGACAATAAGTGTAACTTTTAGGTGGAAAGTTGTGTACCTCATAGGTACTCCGAGGTACACAAACTTTTCAAACATTTACAAATATAAAACAAAATACTTACAATTTCTTCTGTAACAATATGTTTTATTTAACTTGATGATATTAGTTACTCTAGGATTTTTTATTAAACATCCAGACATATTTTTTCATTTCTTTTTTTAATTTTAAAAAATAGCTTACACTGCAGCCAAGGTACACCATCGGTGATGTACCTTGGAGGTATTTATAATGTACCTTGGAGGTATGTATAATGTACCTTGGAGGTATTACAGTTTTAACAGATTAAGTACTCAACATGGTTGAAATTTGATATAAGTTTGCTTATAGGATAATTGGACTTTACATTAGCCTTATTTAAAATAATATTATAAAATAATATTATTCTAACTAGTTGTATTTATATAAACTATATACTAATTTATGTTTATGTTGAATTTATATATGATTATAAATTAAGCTAATTAATAGTTAGAAGTATTAAAACTTACAAAAGAAATAAAGTTGATTAAGAAAAGTGTAATAACAAATATCTACATTAAAGTTTAGTATTATTAAGTCTTTTTCTTTTATTTAGCATTTGTCTACTCTACATTTAGGTAATCAAAGTTAATGCCAAATAATAGTTTTTCCAGTTGTCATGCTGAACCTCAAGTAATAGAAAATGTGGCAACTGAAAAACATGTCTGATTTGTCTAACTCACAGTTTTATAATCTCTTTGACAACTTGAAAAAATTTTCAAAGAGAAGATAAAAACTTGAGAATAATAATTACAATTTAACAAAGAAATGTACACATATTATACTAAAGAAATTCTTAATAAACATAAAAAATCATAACAAACTATAACGACATATTACATTACATATTACATTATTGTTCACAAAAAATATTACTTATAATAGTATTTATAAAATCATGCAAGTGTGTTGCTAATATTGTGTACCTTGGTGGTACCACCAAGGTACACAACATTAGCTACCTCCAATGTACACTACTACCACAGCTTTTATAAAACCATATATTTATAGGTTAGAAGTTAAGCAGTTTCAATCATGCATAAATGAAGCTGAAAACATGTTCTACAAAGTTTGATAATCACTTTTAAAATAAAGTTTATACCAACAATTGTAGAAAGAAAAAAAAGCCCTAAAAAAGTTATTTTTTGGAAACTGGAAAAATCTTAATAACGACATATAAGTTATAGTATACTGTACTAATATATATATATAGTATACTATAGTATAGTATACTATATGTTATGACCGTAGTATACTATATTATGGCCGTAGACAAGTGGGGCTATAGCCCCCCCCAAGCCCCCTTTTTTTTTAACATTTATAAAACCTTCATTTTTAAAATATCTACAGCTAATTTCTTTAATTGAAAAACAACTACATATAAATACAGAAAAACCTGCTTTGCCACGCTATTGTCAAGAACTTCATTCTTTTGAAATAGGAGCATCTGCATCAGTATTATCTGAAAATTCTAGCTTTAACTTTTTTATGAAGATATATTTCGAAGCTATAGAAATGACAATTGACAGTATTCAATCTAGATTTGAATAAGAAGGATATTTAATGTTTCAAAAGATAGAATCAGTAATTATAAATGTTTCAATTGAAGGTAGTTCAATAAATAAAGAAGTTTTTGCTTTCTATGCTACAGATTTGAATGCTTCAATTACTAGTTATGCATGAATCCACAACTGAACCATTAGATAAAAAGTCAATCTACAAAAAAAAAAAAGAAACTAAAAAAACACTCTACAAAAAGTCATAATTTTTTCAGGTAAGATATGAATGAATTTTCTATTAATATTATTTATTTAATAATTACAAATGCAGTGTATCTCAAATAGACTAACATATGCACTACAATGCGTATTTGTATGGTAATATAACACATAAATTTGTGTGTTTCACAGAGAAGCAAATGAAGTTGAAAAGGAATTATTATTAGAAATCAGGAAGTTGATAAAACATATCCTTCTGATGACACTAGTAGCAAGAGAGCTTTCAGCACACTACAAAGAATCAAAACTTGGTTAAAATGCATCATAAACCAAGCATTGTTATACTCAAAAATATTATATTTTAAGGCCAAAATTTACTTCATATCAATAAAAGCATTTTTAAATAAATTACCTCAAAACCCTACAAGATTAAAAAAAAGTAAGAGTAATACATACAGTATAGGAATCTCTACAGAATTCTGATCAGTTTTATTGTTAAGAGACGCCTTATTTGTGCCCCTACTTGTCATAGCCCCCTTCCCCCCCCCCCCCTAGACTAAATAAGTTGTCTACGGCTATGTATACTACATACTAGTAATATTATATCAATAAAATAATTAATGGTAATTTATTATTTATTATTATTAATAGGTTAACAACACAGGTCAGCAAAAAAAAAATTTTTTTCTGGTGCCAAGCAAACAGTTTGTTTTTTGTATAGCATTTCTTGTTTTGATTTCAAATATGAAACTCAATTTTCCTCATCACGTCAAGTTGTAAAGCTATTTGGGTTCAAATTTTTAGCATTTAGGGTAAAATCCCTAATATTTTAAAAAAAAATTATTTAAAAGTGTATCAACCTCAGTCTTCTCTGTTTCATGAGCGTTTTTGGGCTCTTGCAGTTTTGCGCCTGCCAACACGTCTACCAATACTCCAGCTGGCGCATATTTAGGCCAGCTGTAGTATTGCAACAAATCTTTTTTCTTAATCAAATTCTTATTAAAGAGGTACAAAAAAAATATTTTTTAAAATCGTGCATGCTAAACAAATAATTACTGTCCAGCCAGCGCTTTTTTGTGCATAGAAGAATACAAAGTGGGTCTCCCAAAAAAACGTGTTTTCATAAAGTATTTTCATATTTCGTTTGTAATAAAAATAAGTAATAAATAATACTTTTTATATTTTTGCTGAAAAACTTTTTGTTTCAATTTTTTCAAGTCTTTTTATCACATAATTTTTTTGTAAATAAATCTTAAAGAAAAATGTTTATGTTTTTTAAAATCTCAATGAAAATATGCTTCTTTTGAGACCCAGGTTGGCATACTTTTAAATAACTTTTATTCGACTATATTATGGACTTCACTCTAAATACTAAAGATTTGAATCCAAATAGCTTTAAAACTTGACCTGATGGTAAAAAAAGAGTTGAATATTTTAAATCAAAATGAGAAATGCTATTTTAAAAAAAAATTGTTTGCTCGGCACCAGAAAATTTTTTTTTTCGACCTGTGTTATCAATAATAATAATAATAACAACAATAATAGTAATAATAGCAATAATGATATTATAATAATCATATTATTGTAGTAATATTACTATAGCATTATTATAATAATATTAAATTTATTATTATGGTTATTCTTATAAAATTTTATCATTGCGTTATTAGTTCAGATATATCAGATTACGATGATTCAAACATATCAAGTAATGAGGCAGAAAATGATTTAAGTCTTCAGGGTGATTTGTTGAATTTTTAATTTATTTTTTTGAATATTTAATTTTTACTTATATCAAAAACATTCAAAGTAATTATGGTTTTGATTTATGCAAGTTCAAATTTTAGATAAAAAAACGGTGTGTATTTACAATTCTGTTGAAGAAGCTGAACAATGCTTTCTATCTGTTAATGAGCCAACAAAAATTTCAAGTTTGCAAGATTTTTTGATAATTATTTGCTCTGCAATATTTTATTTTTTTTTTGCATTTATTTTTAAATTAATAAGATCTTCACATTTCAGATAAAAGTGATATCTACATATGTGATTCTGTTAAAGAAGCCAATCAGTGTCTTTACAACTATGAGATATATAATACCGTTCGCTTTGCTGCATTCTCAACTCCAAAGGATTTTGGTAGTACAGGTAAAAGGTTTTCTAATAATATAAACTAAATGAATGTTCAGAGTGACTTTATTTAAGTTGTAATATACACTGTAATATACATGTTTTATTTAGCTGTAATTTTACCCATAGATTAGTATCAAAGATTGGTTTAATTGATTATTATTTCTTTCCTTGCTTTGTTTATTATCTTTATTCTATCGAAAGATATTAATTAATAAGTATTGAAATAAACAACTATTTTTTCCTAGAAAAATTTGATTACAATAATCAGTTATTAAAATTTATGGAGTTTTGTTTCACTACTGTGTTCACAGCTTATGGTTATATCTATAAAGTTTAAATTATTTACACCTCATACAGCGTTGCCTCTGAATCAGGGAAGTTAATATATAATTAGGGAAAAGCTAGGGAAAAGCTTGATTTAATTTAAAATCAGGAAAAGTCATGGATTTTTTAATTTTGTTCTATTTTATTTTAATGTTTTCAAATGTTTTACAAAAATAATATTCTTTTTTTAGAATACTATTTTAAAAATCATATCGCCCAAAAGGTTGTTCAAATATATTAATATTTAATCATTATGAAAAAAAAATTTAAGTTTTATTCTAAAAAAAACTTGGATATTTGGATAACTTGGATAAAAGTAACTGTTAGCCTTTTGATCTTATTAAAAAGCAGTTGAGCAACATTTATTTAAAAACTCTTCCTAAAAGTAAGCCACTGAAATTCAAAAGGTATGAAAGTCTTAGAGGAAAATAAAGGTTAATTGACTTGTTAACTTTTTTGGTTACATCACTAGTTTGTTGCAGAAAATCTTAGTGACAGACAGTAATGATTCTTTAAAGATTTGATTTCAACTACTTAAAGCTTAATGAGTTTTTGAATTACTTTTGTTTCGTTTTTTAGATTTATTTTCACACAAGCACAAAGTGTTATGGGAGACATCCCCAGAATTTTTTAATACACCTTACATTGTTTTGTCATCAAAAAGGTTCGATTGTCATCATGGCATTGATCGGAATTCTACTGCTAAACAAAAGTATATTGATGCAAAAGAAAATCAAAAAGTAACAATTAAATAGTCTCATTTGTTATTGTAACAGATGTTCTTTAATTTTACTTAGAATTCTTTCCAAATATTAAATAAAACAAAAGTAGATGTTTATATATATTATACTAATAATAATAATGATATCATATTATTGTTATTATTGTTATTTTTATTATTACAGAAGTTTGATCATTGGTACAGAGGTGAATATGTGATTATTCAAGACAGCAAGAAGTTTGAATGTCCTGCAAAAGTTAACATGAAAGAGATCGTATATTTTACTAGTTTAAAAGTATTTTACAAATATTTGCAAAATAGCATATATTTTTTACTATTTTTTTTAGTAACACTTTTTATGAATCTATCGTTGTTAGAAAAATTATAGCAATAAAAAGAATAATCACTTCTATCATTTTATTTTCAGGTTGTCAATATGACAAGTTATTACAAAAACCAAGTATCAAAAGATATTCGAAATTCCTTGATGAAGCATAATACTTTAGTATTTTGCAGAAAAATTAAAGTTGAAATAGACTGCCTATTATGTCACAAAAATCATCCCCTTGGAAAAGTAATTATTTTGCGCTTTGATACGATTTTGCAGACTGTGATATATTAAAAAAATTAAACTCATTGATTCTTATTTTTTATAATTCTATATTTTTGAAACATATTTTTTTAAATAGTTCCATGACTTGATATATAGTATATTATATAAGTAGTATTGTAATGCAAGTAGTATTGCTAAGCATTATTTTTATACATGTACAACTAATTTTTTATTATTTGTGCGTAATAATATGTACATAACATTTAATATCTTGCTACCGTTTTATTAATTGATGTAGTAGTACTATGCAGATAAGTAGTTTTATTTTGTGTTACTCAATACTATTTTTAGAGTGAACTACTGTCTCAGAAAATTGACCACCGATTGTCAACAAAGATTTCTGAATTTGTGAAACTAGGTGTTTCAAATGTATGTGAGATAAAGAGGCTTTTAAAAATTACGGTTAGCGATATGTTTGGAAAACAAAATTTGCCTCCTTCTAACAACAGAAGGTTCTATCCAAGAAATAATATCATTCGTACGCACATAGTCATTGAACGTCAAAAGCTTAGGCAATCTTTTTTTTTTTAATTTTTAGAACTTTTAGATGTTTCATAGTATCAAAAAGTTTTTTGATTTCTTAACTTTCAGATTCTCAAACATTGATCAAGACTGTTTAGAAAACAAAATAAATGAGTGGAAGATTTCTGACGCTACTGTCAAAATACATTACCATCCAAAAAGAAGTCATAGTAAAGATGAGCTCTTGTTTGTTTATCAATCTGGTTGGCAAAAAAAACTTCTAAATAAATATGGTAATGAAATGGTGTTTTTAGATGCAACTTACAAGACCACTAGATACTCATTACCATTGTTTTTCTTAGTTGTTAAAACCAATGTTAATTTTCAAATAGTTGCAACATTTGTATCTGAAAGTGAAACTTTTGATACAATAAAAAAAGCACTTTATGTCATCAAATCTTGGAATCTCGATTTTCAACCCTTATACTGTATGACTGACTATTGTAATGAGGAAATACGTGCTTTAGAATCTGTTTTTATTGGTGTGTTTTTTAATCTGTATTTATTTATTTAATTTTTAAGTTATTACCTTCTTTAAAGGAATCATTTTATACATTTCATGTGACTTAAGTTCATAATCATTTTAAATAAAATTGTGTTCTATTATTAGGGTGTGAAGTATTCATCTGCGATTTTCATAGAGAACAGGCATGGGATCGTTGGATAAAAAAGACTTCCAATGGTTGTTTTAGTAAAAAGGAAGATATTTTAAAATTGTTGAGATGTATAGCTTGGTCAAGATCTTGTGAAGAAGAAGTAGATGCTATAAAAGCATTAGTGCTTTCTGAATTTTGGTGTCAAGATGGTTTTTCTAAATTTAAACATTATGTTGAAATGTATTGGATGCCTATAAAAAAGGTATTTATTAATAAACATGAGTTTAAATAATTAAACCTTTATAAATACATTTTTTGTTTGTTTGTTGATAAAAGATTTAACCCAGAAGGAATTACTAAAAAAGAAAATAATTTATTACTGATAATGAAAACATGTCTTTTTTTTTGTTGTTGAGAAAATGTAGAAAAAATTGTGGATGCGTAGAATTTCTACAAAATGTTTGCTGAAAGGCTTATTTAATGTATCAGTGAAAGTTTTTAAATTATTTAACAGTAAAAAAAAAATACTTTTGAATACATTTCGTGGCAATCATTTGGTTTGGTTTGCATTATTTTAAGATAGGGTATGTAAAGGTAGAATTTGTTTCTTATAATTTAGAGATGGATATGGTGGTATAGACAAAATCGTCTTTTAATTAATTGCAACACAAACAATGGTGTTGAAAGACAAAATGAGTCATTTAAGTATTCCTATTTAAAGAAATATAACGACTCATCTTTGACAGGCATGTTAACATTATTAATTGAAGAATTCTTCACTGATAAGCTAGAAAGGTTAGTTTAAAAGAAAAGTTTAGTTGATGAATTGACATTTTAAAGTACTATTTTCAATTTAACATTGCTCACAGTAATGATGTTACTATAATCTTCTTATTTATAGTGTTATATCTATTCAATTTAGCTACACTGATGCCAACTTCAAAATGGATGCAAGATACAGGAGATATGGTTGTTGGGTGCCAAAATATCTATATAATCGCCCTCGCAGTTTTGTTAAGCATTGCTTGTTGCGAAAATCTACTGCTGAATACATGGATTTAAACACAGTTGTAATGATTAAACATGGTATCTTTACTGTATCTAGTACCATTGATTCTTCTACAAAATACTTTGTGCACTTTGGTAATGAAAATATTATGCCAAAATGTACTTGTTATGATTGGATGTCAACAGGCTATCCGTGCAAACATTTTTTTGCTGTATTTAAAAAGTATCCTGCTTGGTCATGGAATACGTTATCAAAACTTTATGTAAACTCTCCATTCTTAAATTTAGATGCAGATAACTATGATAAATTGCATGAAAAAACGCCTTTTAATTTTTCAAAGTCGCTTTCACCTTTAAAAGAATCATCTTTGTCTTTAAAAGAAGATACAACTGTCAAAGATCAGAATGACCTTTGTAAAAAACATATTCCCATTTATTCTGGTGTCGATGTTAGAGAAATGCTTGATACTATAAAGAACTTATCATTTGAATTTGAGGCAAACTCTGATGAAATTGTGATGTTACACAAAACTCTTTCTAATCTAATAGACAAACTAAACAATGGAAGAGTAAGAGAATCAGGGGTTCCTGTCACTCAAACAAATAATAAATTAAGCAAAAAACACATTTCTATTCCTGTACGGAAACCAATAAAAGCTCAAACGAAGCGTGTTGGATCAAAGAAAGAAAAAGCATTTAATGCTTCTAAAGTGTTTATAGTAGAAGACTTAGTTGATTCGATTGAACAAAAAGTTGTTGATGATCCTGTAAATGAAGAAAGGTTTAATGTTGACCAGGAGGTAATAGTTTCACATAACAATGATGAACCTTTAATAGAAAAACTGGTTTTCTTTCCCAAGACAAAACTCTCATCAGATGATATGAATGATATTAAAACCTATCAGATGTTGTCAGACAATGTCATCCATTCAGTACAAAAAATGATAACTGGTGTTTCGGGTCTGCAGGATCCAGTTTTAGGGCAAAATTTGTCATTTTGTGTGGTAAAGGACTCCTTTGTACAGGTATTGCATGATGGTGATGTACACTGGCTGACAATAAGCACTTTTGGTTGCTCTGAAGGTGAGGTATTTTTGTTAGACAGCATGTTTAAGGGCAAAATAAAGAATTATGTTGTCAGACAAATTTGTGCAATAATGCAGTGCACCAAAGACAGTTTGAAAGTACGAGTTTTACCTGTTCAACAACAAACAAATGGTGTAGACTGTGGTTTGTTTGCATTGGCATTTGCACAGCACATTGCTTGTACCGGCTCAAATCCATGCTACGTTTCCTTTGAAATTGATGAAATGAGAAATCATTTATATAAAAGTATTATAGAAAACCACCTAAATGAGTTTCCAAAGACTGGAAAATTAACTAGGTTTTGCAAAGAAAAAGAATTTAATTTTACTCTTTATTGCATATGTCGGCAAATTTGGATGGCTTCTGATAAAGTTGTCAAAGATAAGTAAGTGAATTAGTATTTAAATTATGTTTTAGCTTTTCAATCTAATTACGTTACACACACACACACTCACACACTACTTTTATTTTATTTCTATTCACTTTTTTTTGACTGTTTATTTTATGTGTTGATACATTTAGGCATATGGTGCAATGTGAAAAATGGGAATGTTGGTTTCACCGTGTTTGTGAACGCATACCTGATTTTATTTTAGAAAGTGAGAGTGTTGAATGGTTTTGTTCGCAATGCACAATAACTTTACCATGAAGTACTTTAACTTAAAAGAGATTTTAACTTAAATATTTATAATCCTTTTTTTTTTAATAATTTTTAGTAGTTTAGAATATTTTTTTTTTATGGTACCCAAAAAATTTATGTTAGATAAAAAATCTTATGTAAATAGTTTTTAATTTTCTAATTTTCTTAATATATAATCTTAAAGTAATACAAGACTTTTGAATGATAGCAATGCCTAAAAAATTGTGTTACCTAAATGCGGTTTATTTTAGTTAAGAGTTCCTTAAGTAAAATGACCTAGTTAAGTAAAGGTTATGCAAGTTCAAGAACAAGATCAATTTTTTCAAAACTAAATGGTTCTTTTTTAACTCTGCAATTGTTTTCTTTCAATTTACTTTTTTTTACCATAAACACTTTTAATTACAGTCTAAGTATAAATTTTAGTATTTATAATAAGTATTTATTATTGTTTAAATTTCAATGGTTATATATTTTTTTAATATATAATAATTTTTTTAAACAATGATTTTCCTTTTTTTTTTTAGTTGCGTTTGTCACTGCTTTATTAGTTTGCCTACTGTTGAAATATGGTTTTAATTTAGTAAATTTATATGATGTGAAATTTACTCTATTAATCATCAGATAACAGTTAGGGAGAAATTGGAATTCTACATAATTAAGGTAAAAATGATTTTGTTTACTGGTATTATCATTAGTTGCCGATGGTAATATTACAAAATCAGTATTTATGGTTGATTTTGTTTCAGCTCTTTAGTGCTACACTGTAACATTGATATATAGTCATTATCAATAGTAGCTTTTATTATAATTGTAAATCTTAATTGTATGTGTTTTTACCACTTATGATATTTCGTTATATCACAAATAATTATGCTCACGTAAAAAATATATAAGGATTTTATTCATGATATAATTTTTTAAATTGCTAAACTGCAATTGTCCCTGTAGTTTAAATATTTCAATAAACGAAATCCCTTGAGTTTAAGTATTTTGTTAAATAAAATATATTATTAAGTTGAGGTGCTATTTTGCAATTAAAAGATTTCTAGAGTTGGTTGTTGTATCTACCTAAAATTTTTATACCTCTTGAAAAGGCGGTATAAAATAAACAAAACGACTTATTCAAGAAAATTAGATAAGTGTTTTACTAAATAATTATTGCTCAATTCTTTAAGAACATCGAGCACTCTATTTGTAGAATAAACTAACATTATATATATAATATATATATATATATATATATATATATATATATATATATATATATATATATATATATATATATATATATATTTATATATTATTATTCTTGAACATATGATATATATATATATATATCATATGTTCAAGAATAATATATTAACTCGTTTTTTCATAACTTTTTTAATATTGAAATGAACTAATAAATCAAATAGTATTCTATAGCCTAACATCAAAAAAATAATATATTTTTAAAAAAAGCTATTTTAAAATATACAAATAGCAAAATATTTATTTATATCATATATGATACATCACGCAGTGGAACTTTATGAAGAAATGATAAACTAATGTTTGTTGTTAAAAATAGAGTTTTTCTAGGAATATTAGTTTGAGACTTATACATACTCAATAAAGATATCATTATAAATAAAAATTTTATTGATGGAACGCTTCAAAACAGTTGCGATCCTTATTGAGACATAGCGCAGTGTCGCACATCTCACAAAATGATGTCGAGGCAGTGCACTTGTCATGTAATTGCAACAAGCTTTTTATTAAAATTTGGCCAACTTGATCAGATCAAAATAATAAAAAGGTTTTATAACAAAAAAATAAATAAAATAAAGCAAGGGTATAAAGTTTTAACTTTTTAATTTTTTTTTCCTTAGATCCATGATGTATCATTTCTGATACAGTTAGAAAAAGAGAATTTAAGTAATAAACGTTTACGAAAACGAAAACCTAAATACACAGGAGGATTACGAATATATAAGAAACTTCGAGGACTTTGGTGAGCTTATAATTAAAAGAAATCTTTTGATAACATAAGCAATAAAATCGTTAAAAAAGTTAAAGTTACAAAAAAATTTGAAGTGCTATGGTAACATTCATCGTATGCTTAAGATAAGTTTAATTCTTAATAAAAATCGTTGCGCGTTCGATACGCCATTTATAAACTGTATCATATATGATACAGTATGCAGAAAAGGCTTAAGTTTGTAAATCGATGATACAAAAATTACTCAATGATACTTACAAAAATATATTTTAATTAGACACTACTCGGTATCGAGTCTTGGATTTTCGTCTGGTATAAGTGCAATAGCTTACAGTATCGATATCGAGATAACAGTATCGATATAGAGGTACCGATAGTATTATTAGTTATCGCAGGTCAGGTTTTCACAAGAAAATGTATTTTATTTGTATAAACAATTAGTAATTTGAAATATTAAATATATTTAATAATTGAGATGTAAGGGAACGTGGGGAAAAGTTATACTTCAAGAATGATTTTAATACTTTATTAACATAATGTATGTACTGCGCCAAACAAGTCTCAAATTTTAACAAGTTTTAAGTTTTACAAAGAAAGCATTATTTTGGGCACTGATTCTATTGATATAAAAGAATAATAAAAAGTGTTTTTCAAAATGGGCTTTCCAGAGTTATTATAATCTGCTTCACAATAAAGTTGTCCATAACAACTGGGCAATCATGGAGCTACATTATTTTCATATAAAATAATATGATTTGCAAAAAAGAATTCTTTAATTTTGTTAACATTTCTACACATAGCAGTCATAGATTGCAGCCAATAGTTTGTTTACTGTTTGGGCGTTTTAAGCTTTATTTTTGTATGTATAGGATAGTATAGTGTATAGTATTTATAGCATGGATGTATGTATAGGATATGTATGTTTAAGATAGTATGTCGTTCACAATATAAAATGTTTTTGGTGGGGTTCAAAAATGTGGGATTTAACCACTCAATAGCAAATTTTTATAAAAATTGATTTCATACTATCTAATATTAGCGACAGACCTCTTTCAGTCAACCAATTAGAAATTCAACAACCAGATAATCCATATTTAAACAAACAAAAAAAAGCAATCGAACTGATTCTTTGGAATCATCAGTCAAAATAGTTAGTCCGGAAACCAGTCATCAATATCCTAATGACCGCCCAAGATTCTAGAAAAAGAAGACAACAGGGCAATAGTTCTATTAAGTAAAACTCTAGAAAAGACAGTAAATGAGAGAAATAATGTCAAAATCGGTAAAAATGGCACAAAAAAGAAAAAAGAAAAATTGGCTTCAGAGAAGTCAAAGAAACAGAAAACACTTTTTTTATTTACTGCGTAAATATTTAACTTGTAAAATGTAACAACGTCTTTTTACCGAGGTACTCGACGACAAGAACTTACGTTCTTCTATGAGTTTCCGGGTTCTTTTTATACATATATTAAATATCTTCATTTGTAATTGTTTATATTTTTTTATTTTAGCTTGTAAGTTTTATAAAATATTAACGTCATGTTTTAAAATGTAATAAAGAACAAAAAAAAAAAAAAAAATTTTATTGTGTCATCTTTAAAAAATGTGCCCATCAAGCAACAACAACAAAATAACTTGCAAAATATACAAATGCAACTGGAAATATTTTGTTTGGCCGGCTTGGATTCAGTGTGTTACTGAATAATGATAGGTATATAGAAATCGTAATGGCAACAACAAGAAGCGTTACTATGAGTGCGAGTTATGTGAAGTTAACTGTTAACATCTTTTACAATTGCTTTAATATACTAAACTTTTATTACTTAGTTTTTTGCGACAAGCAATAAGTTTTGCTTTTATTACGTTGGTTAAACAGATAAAATTAAATTTTTTATAACTAATAAGCTGCTTTGCTGTTGAGTTTTTTAAAGTAAATTAGATACTTAATAATTAATAGTTACCTTAAATGAATGGAAAAATATTCAAGCATTTACACTTTACTACTTTGTTTTACTTTTAAAAAAAAAGTCATATATTCTATTTTAAATGAAATTTATTAAGTAGTTTTGGTTTTTAAAATAAAAATATGTTCGGTAAGTCAAAATGTGGACATATTTATGCCTCCTTAAAATAAAAATTTTTCATAGCGCTCCAATTGCGTAAATGTATACCATATGCGTTCCTTTTTGGCACCCCTAGTAATAGAAATAACCATTACTGCTTAACTTACTTGAAACTTACTACTACGGGACAAATGACCAGGTCTAATAAATCTTTTTTTTTTACCAAAAGTACATAATAATGCAAGAGTTAATGGTCATCAAACTGTTTTCAATATATAAGTTAAACAACTTTATCAACTTAAAAGTAGCATTTCACAAAAACTGTCCTATTTAATAAGATTCTCCCCTATATAGGTCACACAAAAGCTTCATTAATTCAGTTTCAAAAAAAAAGCAAACAACTTCGCCAATTATTGGCCACATTTTTATAAGAAACACCCATTGCAGAAATTAACTGAACTATATATTAAATATATACTAGTTAATTTTAATATAAATTTTAGATTTCAATTTAAGTAAGGATTATTGTAATTATCCTAAAATCAAATTACATATAAAGCAGGTAATAAAGATTTCACCAAATACTGGCTTGTATCTTATATCAAATACTGGCAAATGCATGTATTATGGACATTTATTATAATTCAATTATTTAGAAACAAAACAAAACTAAAGTATCATTCAATATAATTTATTCAATTTAACTCATTATATGCTAAGTACAGATAATGAACCTCAAAAAAAGTTAAAAAAAAACTTATTCCTAAATACCATCATCAATGTCTTGATAATTTTCAATATCTTCAATATTTTAATACTTCAATAGAGGTTGATTTTTGCAAATTTGATATCTCAGCTAACTTCTTTTTATAGTTTACAATTTTCTTTTTTTTTTGTTTAAAACCATTTGTTATTCAATTTTTCCCTTTTTGCAAGCAACTTTTGTAGCCGTCTTCAGGTTTGTGTTGTACAAAGCCTGTAATGTGAAAAAAAGAAAA